AGGAGGAAAGGAGAAAGGTTGATTGATGTGTACTAGTCTATGCTAGTTATGAGTAAGAAATTCTGGGGTTCTGCTGTCCAGTAGGGTGTAGATAGATGTCAATTTACTGTATATTTCTCTATGAAAAACATCTAGAAGATAGAATTTTTTGATGTTTTCTCTGTTAAGAATGTTAAATGCTGGAAAAGATAATGTATTTACCTTGATTGAACATTACACAATGTATACATGTAACAAAACATCACATAGTATCCCATAAATATGTACAGTGGAAGACTCTTGCCACTTCCAAGAACATGGATGAACCTGTAAGACATTATACAAAGCAAAATATGCTAGACACATAAGGACAAATATTACATTACTCCCACTTATATGCACAATCTAAAATAGTCAAACTCACTGAAGAAGAGAGTACAATGTTGGTTGTCAAGTGCTTGGGAGAGGAGGAAAGAGGGATGTACTGCCAAAGAGTTACAAAGTCCCACTTATGCAGGATGAGGAAGTGCTGAAGTTCTACTGTACAGCACAGTTCCTAAAGTTAACAATGCCAGATTGTATATTTAAGCATTTGCTGAGACAGTGGATCTTATAGCGGGTATTCTCATCATACACACACACACACACAAATACAGAAGGCAAGAGAAAATTTGGAGGTGATGGACACATTTGTGGGTTTAACTGTGATGACAGTTTCATGGGTATGTACTTATTTCCAAACTGATAAAATAATCTACATTAAGTGTATATATTGCTTATTTTAATTATAACTTCATAAAATAATTTAAAATGAGCAGAAAAACACATGCTGGACTGACACTGAAATGACTAATAAGAACTTGTGACAGAGGGCAGGCATCTGATGCAGTGGTTTAGGACACATTGGGTTTGCCCACATCCCACTTCAGAGGGCCTGGAGCTCCATGGCCAACTCCAGCTTCCTGCTATTGTGCACCCTGGAAGACAGCTGGTGATGGCTCCAGTAGTTGGGTCCCTGTTACCCACATGGGAGACCTGCTGCAGTCTAACCCAGTCCTGACTCTTGCAGGTACTTGGGAGTAACTGGTGGGTAGGTGATAGCCTTTTGCTATTCAGGGAGGGGATGCTACTTAGAACATGGTTTGAACCACTATATCCTGTATGTGGTTTTAGGTGGTAACAAGTCTTGTTAGGGCATGAGTCTGCTGTGTTCTGTTTTCCAGCGTTACCAAGACAACATTCATAACTGAACCACATCTAGCCCAGAGAACAGAAGAGTTTTATCAAGATGCATGTGAACTTCTGCATTAAGCTTGGCAGAAGTGCTGACCATTTCACGCTTTTCACTCACATATCAAAAGAAATGTCATAATTCTCAATAAGAAATACGTTCTCTGGCACTTCTGGAATTTAGCCTATAATAAATTGTAGTTTACTTTATCACAATAAAGCACCAGTTTTTAAGCCCTAAGACATTGCGTATGGACATTTGCTTTGCGTTCTTTAATAGTCATGGGGGGGAGGAGGTGGCAATGCTATGGCATAGTGAATTAAGACCACCTGCAGCACTGGCATCCCATATGGATGTCAGTTCAAGTCCTGGCTGCTCCACTTCTTTTTTTTTAATTTATTTTTTATTTAATAAATATAAATTTTCAAAGTACAGTTAATGGATTACAATGGCTCCCCCCCAATTTCCCTCCCACTCACACCCCTCCCATCTCCCGCTCCCTCTCCCATTCCATTCACATCAAGATTCTTTTTTTTTTTTTTTTGACAGGCAGAGTGGACAGTGAGAGACACAGAGAGAAAGGTCTTCCTTTTGCCGTTGGTTCACCCTCCAATGGCCGCCACGGCCGGCGCACCGCGCTGATCCGATGGCAGGAGCCAGGTACTTATCCTGGTCTCCCATGGGGTGCAGGGCCCAAGCACTTGGGCCATCCTCCACTGCACTCCCTGGCCATGGCAGAGAGCTAGCCTGGAAGAGGGGCAACCGGGACAGAATCCGGCGCCCCAACCGGGACTAGAACCCGGTGTGCTGGCGCTGCAAGGTGGAGGATTAGCCTAGTGTGCCACTGCGTCGGCCAAGATTCATTTTCAATTATCTTTATATACAGAAGATCCATTCAGTATATATTAAGTAAAGATTTCATCAGTTTGCACCCACACCGAAACACAAAGTATTTTGGTTGGTATCGCATTGAGTCTATAAATTGCTTTTGGGAGAATGGACATTTTGATGATATTGATTCTTCCAATCCATGAGTATGGAAGATTTTTCCATTTTTTGGTATGCTCTTCTATTTCTTTAAGATTTTGTAATTCTCATCATAGAGATCTTTAATGTCCTCGGTTAAGTTTATTCCAAGATATTTGATTGTTTTTGTGGCTATTGTGAATGGGATTAATCTTTTTTTTTTTTTTTTTTTTTTTTTTTTTTGACAGGCAGAGTGGACAGTGAGAGAGAGAGACAGAGAGAAAGGTCTTCCTTTGCCGTTGGTTCACCCTCCAATGGCCACCGCAGATGGCGCACCGCACTGATCTGATGGCAGGAACCAGGTACTTATCCTGGTCTCCCATGGGGTGCAGGGCCCAAGTACTTGGGCCATCCTCCACTGCACTCCCGGGCCACAGCAGAGAGCTGGCCTGGAAGAGGGGCAACTGGGACAGAATCCAGTGCCCCGACTGGGACTAGAACCCAGTGTGCCGGTGCTGCAAGGTGGAGGATTAGCCTAGTGAGCCGGGGTGCCGGCCTGTGAATGGGATTAATCTTAGCAGTTCTTTCTCAGCCGTGGCATTGCCTGTTGATTTTTGTGCATTGATTTTATAAAGCATTCGATAAAATTCAACACCCTTTCATGATGAAAACTCTAAGCAAACTGGGTATGGAAGGAACATTCTTCAATACAATCAAAGCAATTTATGAAAAACCCACGGCCAGCAAACTCTTGAATGGGGAAATGTTGGAAGCATTTCCACTGAGATCTGGTACCAGACAGGGATGCTCACTCTCACCACTGCTATTCAGTATAGTTCTGGAAGTTTTAGCCAGAGCCATCAGGCAAGAAAAAGAAATTAAAGGGATACAAATTGGGAAGGAAGAAGTCAAACTATCCCCCTTTGCAGATGATATGATTCTTTATTTAGGAGATCCAAAGAACTCTACTAAGAGACTACTGGAACTCATAGAAGAGTTTGGCAAAGTAGCACCTTTGTTAATGATCAATTGGATGTCCTGTGTGGTTTATTCCTAAGGTTTCTATCCTGTTCCATTGGTTTATGGATCTGTTTTTAAGCCAGTACTGTGCTGTTTTAGTTACTGCACCTTTGTAGTGTATATTAAAGTCAGGTAGCATAAGGCCTCTTGCTTTGTTCTATTTGCTCAAGATCACTTTGGCAAATCAAGGTCTTTTTCAAGGTAAGATCTACTCATGCAGTTTTAAAGCATGATCTACATTGTTATTAAATAGCTACTATGCTGACAGATCTCCAGTAGTGAGAATAAATCTGAGAATACATCTTTTCCTCTGTATACATTCATAGGCCACAAACCAAAATAGGAACCCTTAAAAAATCCTATATCAAGATCACTAGTATCCTTTTCTTGTGTGGCCTCACTTTAGCAAGGTATGTACTTCTGTTAGCGAAATTATTTCGTTCTGCTATTTGACATGTCGTTTTTTAAAGGGCCTATAAGAAATGACAGTGATTTAGTGTGTGTATTTGTGCACATTACATTAACTACAGTGTTACTTCTTCCAGGAGCTATCTTCTTGCCAATAAGACTTAGAAGAAATCACACATGTTTATGCCTGCCCTGCATAAGCAGATTTTGTATTAGGCTTTTGTATTTGTACATCAGAAAAAATTTTTTTTCTACCTTAACGTATTGGTTGGAGCACTTACAGTTAAAATTCTGAGGTCCTTTTAAGATAATAGGCCTCTTACTACATATATTCTCAAATTATGAATTAGGGTTATAAATGGTGAATGAAGTTGAATTTGCTAGAATTTGGTATGCTCTCAGCCTTGGCTCTTTACAGTGTTTTTATTTTATTTTATTTTTTTGTAAAGAGAGAGAAGTCTTCCATCTGATGGTTCACTCCCCAGTTGGCTGTGTCAATCCGAAGCCAGGAGCCAGGAGCTTCCTCTGGGTCTTCCCAAGTGGGTGCAGGGACTCAAGGACTTGGGCCACCTTCCATGTTTTCTCAGGTCACAGCAGAGAGCTGTATTGGAAGTGGACTAGCCGGGGACGTGTACTGGTGCCCATATGGGATGCCGGCACTGTAGGCGGTGGCTTTACCCTCTACACCACAGAGCCGGCCTCTACAGTGTGCTTTCCTAATTAAACTTCAGAGTCTTCCTAGCAGGACTTTGAACTTCTAAGCCATGTCCTTTCTGTGTCTCTCTCTCCCCAGGACATTGTTACTGTCTAATATGTTACTGTCTTCTACCCCAGAAATGTTACTAATATTTACCCTGTGGCAGATGCTCAGTGGTCTTTGTAACTGTGATTTTGAGCTGAGACAGTAGCCTGCTTCTGTAATTGTGTGTCAGAATTTCTTGTGCTTTTCCTAGGAGGCTAGAACTCGATCATTTTCAGAACTTTTACATAACCTAGTCTATCATCTTTAGTCCAAGATTAAACAAATAGAGTGTGCTCTTGAGTCCTGCGTGATAGAAGATAGGAAAGCCTTATAACCTGCCCATTCCCTAAGTGGCTTGCTGCAGCCCAGGAATGCTTGGTGGAGTTCTCTGTAATATAGGATGAGGCCAAAGGGATTGTTTTCGTCCCCCCTAAATCCTCTCTTGCTTTCCCTAAGGGCTTGTCCTAAGTTGTTCCTTCTCTGTCAGAGCTTGCTGCACACCCAGGGGCAGAACACCTGCCATATGTTATGAGTTACATTACTCATTTATGTATTGTCTAACTCATTAGACTGGAAGTGCCTCAAGGCCAGGAGTAATGACTCATCCCTTTAGCTCCAGTATCTCCTTCTAAGTCTGTCTGCTCACCTGTGCAGCACGAAGCAAATTCAGCACCCAAAACCCAGGATGCGAGAAACTGAGACTAGAGATCCATGTGGAGCAGAGATTGCAGCCATCCTTGGAGCACAGACAGAGCGGGCATGGAAGATCCTTGCTAAGTCCTTAAGTGTAAGGAATTATTAAATAAACTAACAATTTTTCCCAATGTAAAAATTGAGCAAAGTACTACAACTGTACAGGACATAGAGGTGATGTAAGTTTTCTCTACTGTTTTGAGTTACTTTAAAAGAGGGGTGGTGGTGGTGGTGGTGGGGAATAATGGTACCTATGTCACCGTATTGTTGTGAGGATGATCTGAAAAAATCCATGTATATTACTTAGCACTGTCTCTGGGCGACATTGTAAGTTATTAGTGTTGCATATTATTATTCTATTTCATTGCATCTAATTAAATTGTCATTTTTTGGTATCACTTAGAATTAATTTCCAATTAAACTGTGTCATGAAGATTTCTCATAACCAAAATTATTTTACATGTATGAACATTTTTTAGGTCTAGACAGATTTTAGAAATTATTTTTCATTCTCAGAACATATATAAAAAAGGCAAATGTAAACAAGTCATTTAAGGTATTCCTATCTTTTTTTTTTTCACAGAATCTAATTCTAATTACTTTTTTTTTTAGATTTTTAAAATTTATTTATTTGAGAGGTAGAGTTACAGAGAGAGAGAAGTAGAAGCAGAGAGAGAGAGGTCTTTCATCCACTGGTTCATGCCCCAAATGACTGTAACAGCCGGAGCTGAGCTGATCCGAAGCCAGCAGCCAGGAGCTTCTTCTGGGTCTCCGATGCTGGTGCAGGGCCCAAGGACTTGGGCCATCTTCCACTGCTTTTCCCAGGTCATTAGCAGGGAGCTGAATCAGAAGCAGCACCCATGTGGGATGCCAGCACTGTAGGTGGAAATTTAGCCCACTATGCCGCAGCACTGGCCCCATGGAATTACTTTTTGATTGAGAGACATTGATTTCTGCATTTTTCTCACAGTGTGTTGTCTGTGATACCAGGAGTGTTGGAAATTAGGAATGCAGCATTTTAAAAATGTGCCCACTGTTGAATCCCAAATTTTCTTCCAAATCTCTAACATCCATTCCCCTTGTGCTTGCCCCATTGCACCAGGAAATGTCAATGAAAGATTTTCAGGCAACAACTAGATTCACAGTCTTTCCTGAATTCTTGTCCTTTGGATGCTAACCTGTCTCTTGCATGATCTCTCCCACTTACTTCATGATAACTCCGTGGTAGACATTGCTCAGGACAAAATCCCTGGAGTTGTCCTGGACTCCTCTCTGTCCCTTGCATACTACATCCAGTCCACTAAGTTTCTAAATCTAGATTCTGCATTCCTCTACTGCTACTTTAATTCTGGCCCAAGGGATCTCTCACCTATAATTTCCCCTTAGCAGGTTTTTCTGCTTCTGTCTTGGCCCCAGCACAATTCTATTCTCACTAGTGGCCAGAGCAAAGCTTACAAAGACTAGGCCCGATCATGTCTCTCTTTCAGTCAACACCCAGCTCTCCATTTAGCTCAGAGTAAAAGCCGAGCTTGTTGTAATGGTCCACATGTCCCACAGATTCAGTGTTGCCAGCTTCACCTCTCTCCTCTCTCATTCACTTCTGCTACACTTTGCTCCTGACTCAAACCTGCTTGCCGTTTATCAGTCTGGCAAGGCATGATACTGCTGGAGGGTCTTTTCTCTTGTTCTTCCCTTTGCCCAGAGTGCTTCTCCTCCAGGTTCTATGGAGCCAAAGTTCCTCCCTCCTCCAAGACTTAGTTCAAACCTCATGTTCTTACTACAGGGCCCCCAGCCCCCCTATTTAGTACTACAACCTGAACCTCCTCTGTGTCCTGGGCACCCTGTCCCCTTATCTCGCTCCACATTTTCTTTTCCCATAGCACTTAGCAGTATATGCGCCAACATTTTCTTGAGTGTTATAGGTTATTGTTATCTGTCCCCTCAGGAAGGTAGACAACTTTAAGAATAGTGCCTTATAAGGCCGGCGCCGTGGCTCACTAGGCTAATCCTCCGCCTTGCGGTGCCGGCACACCGGGTTCTAGTCCCGGTTGGGGCGCCGGATTCTGTCCCGGTTGCCCCTCTTCCAGGCCAGCTCTCTGCTGTGGCCAGGGAGTGCAGTGGAGGATGCCCCAGGTGCTTGGGCCCTGCACCCCATGGGAGACCAGGAAAAGCACCTGGCTCCTGGTTCCTGCCATCGGATCAGCGCGGTGCGCCGGCCATTGGAGGGTGAACCAACGGCAAAGGAAGACCTTTCTCTCTGTCTCTCTCTCTCACTGTCCACTCTGCCCTGTAAAGAACAAAAAAAAAAAAAAAAAAATAGTGCCTTATAAGCATCTGTTCAACACTCCTTTTTAAATTTTTTTTAAAGATTTATTTATTTACTTGAAAGAGTTGCACAGAGAGAGAGGAAGGGATGGAGGGGGAGAGAGAAAGAGAGAGAAGGAGAGAGAGAGAGAGAGAGAGATAACTTCCATCTGCTGGCTCACTCCCCAGATGTCCACAATTGTTGGGGCTGTGCCAGGCTGAAGGCAGGAGCCAGGAGCTTCTTCCAGATCTCCCGCATGGGTGCAGGGGTCCAAGGACTTGGGCCATTTTCTGCTGCTTTCCCAGACAAATTAACAGGGAGCTGGACTGGAAGTGGAACAGCCCATAGGGGACGCTGGCACTGTGGTGTAGTGGGTAAATCTGCCACCCCCCATTCAATACTTCTTGAATCCTACTGAACTGTGAAAAATCATATGACCAATGTCAGCCACAAGGTACCAATGCAGTGCTTAGAAATAGTCTATATAGGGGGCTGTCGTTGTGGCGTAGTGGGTGGAGCTGCCACCTGCAGTGCTGGCATCCCATGTGGGCGCCGGTTCAAGTCCCAGCTGCTTCGCTTCCAATCCAGCTCTCTGCTGTGGCATGGAAAAACAGTAGAAGATGGCCCAAATCCCTGTACCCCTGCACCCATGTGGGAGACCCAGAGGAAGATCCTGGCTCCTGGCTTCGGATCGGCAGAGTTCCAGCCATTGCGGCCATCTGGGGAGTGAACAAGCAGATGGAAGACCTCTCTCTCTCTGCCTCTGCCTCTGCCTCTCTGTAGCTTTGCCTTTCAAATAAATAAATAAATCTTAAAAAAGAGTTAAATGAGATAATATTGTCTTAAAAAAAGAAATAGTTCACATAGAGCAGGTTAAGAAAGATTGTGACAAGTTAGTGCTTCAGTGGACTCTTTCAGGATAAACAGAGTGAGGCAGTGAAGGAAGTGAGAAGTGAAGAGATCACAGACACAAGGGGAGCCTAAGATCAAGGCACTTGCAGATTCACCTTCTGGGGCCGATGCCCTCTTTCTGGTTGCAGATGGCTGTCTTCCCATCTTCCTGTTGTATCTTCACATGGCAGAGAAACATCTGGAGACCTCGCCAGGGTCTGTTAAGATGGTAGTGATCCCATCCTTGAGGGATCCACCCTCACGACCCAAATCCTATCGATGGGCCTTACCTTTTAACACAATCACAGTGGGGTTTAGACGTTCAACATAGGAATTTCAGGGGATTCACAAATATTCAGCCCATTGTGTGGGGTGGATATTTGGGTTGGATACTACCTATTGACTACAGTTCAGAGTATGGAAGTGAAACCCTAAGGTTTTCTTCAGTGAAACTTATTTCTCTCTGTGGGTACCATGCTAGCATTATGAGCCCTGATAACATTTAATGGTCAAACTACTTTGGCTAGGAATGTCACTTGACCAGTGAAGGTGCCAGATCTTTGTTTTGGTTAAGAGGTTAGCCAGTGGGGCTGGAGCCGTGGTGCAGTAGGTTTATCATCTACCTGTGGTGCCAGCATCCCATATGGGCACCGGTTCTAGTCCCTGCTGCTCCTCTTCCAATCCAGCTCTCTGCTGCGGCCTGGGAAATCAGTAGAAGATGGCCCAAGTGCTTGGGTCCCTGAACCCACTGGGGGAACCTGGAGGAAGCTTCTGGCTCCTGGCTTCAGATCTTCACAGCTCCGGCCGTTGCGGCCAATTGGAGAGTGAATCAACAGGAGGAAGACCTTCCTCTCTGTCTCTCCCTCTCACTGTCTGTAACTACCTCTCAAATAAATAAATAAATAAATATTTTTTAAAAAAGAGGTTAGCCAGTAATGAAAATGTTGAGTTCTTCTAGCCAAAATAATCATTGAGGGAGTCTATAGTGAATATCTCTAGGAAGCAATGCAGTGACATAGAGATTTTTCTCACGTGAGGTGTTCTTTTAGCATAGACCAGGGATTATACTCAGAGATAGAGCCCTCACTATCCTGGTTCCTGGGAGACACAAACCCTCAATCAGCTTCGTGCCTTATGATGTATGCTGTGTGTTCTTAACAATAAGTGAATCTGGTGGCTTCATCATTGACTCTTTTTTTGATAATTAGATATTAGGCTCAATTGTTTCTGGTTGTTGTAGGAGTGTATGTGATGTCAACATGTAAATATAACACATTTTAGAATTGTACATTCTTGAAAATGTTTGCTTGTGCCCTTTCCATTCCAGTGGGCTGGTGTGAAGCCCCTCTGCCAAGGGGACTTTGACTTTGCTCAGCCCCTCACCACACACCACACAGTTATCAACACACATTATTTAAATGGTTGAAACAAACACATTTTGATCCAAAAGAAACATACAGTGTAAATCTTAAGGACCTGGGGAAACAGAACTTAATGTACATTTTTTGTGTCTATAAAAGAGTATCCATCATCATCCCCATATCTGTCTTTGTGAGAATTAATATATGTAATAGGGGTTAATATATGTAATAGTCTTTTGATGCATTTCTTTTATTAATGGACTATTTCTTAGGACAGTTTCAGATTTAGAAAAAAAGTGAGCAAATAGTGCAGAATTCCTGTGTTACCTTCCTGCTCCACCTAACAGTTTCCCTTATTACTAACATCATGCATTACTATGAAACATTTATGATAATTAATGAACCAATATGATATGTTATCAGTCTTCTTGCCTGAAGTTTGTAGTTTATTCAGAATTACTTAGTTTTTGCCTAACATCCTTTTGTGTTCCAAAACATGTTTCAGAACACCTATTACATTTAATTGTTGTGTCTCCTAAGCACCAATGGCCGTGATGGCTGGTGCTGCGCCGATCCCAAGCCAGCAGCCAGGTGCTTCCTCCTGGTCTCCCATGCGGGTGCAGGGCCCAAGCAGTTGGGCCATCCTCTACTACCCTCCTGAGCCACGGCAGAGAGCTGGACTGAAAGAGGAGCAACCAGAACTAGAACCCGGCGCCCTTATGGGATGCTGGCACCTCAGGTAGAGGATTAACCTAGTGAGCCATGACGCCAGCCCCAGACTTTGCTATTTCTAATGACCTTAACAATTTGAGGAGTACTGATCAGGTATACTGTAGGATGCCTCCGTGTTGGAATTTGTCTTTGGCACATTTTAAGGTTACTAAGTGTTGGATATTGTTATTATCACTTTGGATTCAGGTTAAAATGTAAACAGAAGTGGGCTGTGGAGAGGCAGGGGAAGTTTTCTTGAACAGTCCATATTTAGTTTTTAATTATTTATTTTCATTTTATTTGAAAAGTGGGGTGGAGGGAGACAGATGGAAAGGGGGCGAAGGGAAAGAGAGAGAGAGAGGAGAGAGAGAGAGATTCCATCTGCTAACTCATTCTTCAGATCAACACAGGAGCCACAAGCCAGGAACTTCATCTGGTCTTCTATTTAGATGGCAGGAGCCCAAGCACCTGAGCCATCATCTGCTGCCTTCCAGAGTTCACATTAGCAGGAGGCTGGATCAGAGGTGGAGTCGCCAGGATTTGAACCACGCACTCCAATATGGGATGCTGGAGTCCCAAGTGGCGAGTTAATAGCTACACCACTTGCCTGCTGCAAACATCAGGTGTTTAAAAGAAAGACTTATTTTGTAGCTTATTCGGTTATCAGTGCTGAGAAACTGGACAAAATTTCATTTGCCTATATCTATCTTTCCAGCTGTTCATTCAATTCATTAGATATACAGCAAGCTGTTACTGTGAAGGTAGAAATGTTTTGAATGCTGGGGACTTGATGATAAACAAAGCAAAACTGCTTTTTTGGGACTTCCTGACAGCAAAAGAGTTAATAAACACATAAAGAAATAAACAATCTAAGACAACTTGTGACAAGTAAAGAGCATAAAGTATTCTTGTGTTAAAAATTATTATTAAAGAATTTCTCAGTAGGTGAAGAAAGTGAGAGTAACTATTAAATCTTTGTATTAGTTCTTTTTTGTTGTTATAACAACATATCTGAGGCTGGATTCTTTATCATTTTTTTAAACTTTTATTTAATAAATATAAATTTCCAAAGTACAGCTCATGGGTTACAATGGCTTTTTCCCCCCATAACTTCCCTCCCACCCACAACCCTCCCAACTCCCGCTCCCTCTTCCATTTCATTCACATCAAGATTCATTTTCAATTATCTTTATATACAGAAGATCAATTTAGTATATACTAAGTAAAGATTTCAACAGTTTGCACCCACACAGAAACACAAAGTGTAAAGTACTGTTTAAGTACTAGTTATACCGTTAATTCACATAGTACAACACATTAAGGACAGAGATCCTACGTGGGGAGTAAGTGCACAGTGACTCCTGTTGATTTAAAAATTGACACTCTTATTTATGACATCAGTAATCACCCTAGGCTCTTGTCATGAGCTGCCAAGGCTATAGAAGCGTCTTGAGGCTGGCGCTGCGGCTCAGTAGGCTAATCCTCCACCTGCGGCACCGGTGCCCCAGGTTCTATTCCCGGTTGGGGCTCTGGATTCTGTCCCAGTTGCTCCTCTTCCAGTCCAGCTCTCTGCTGTGGCCCAGGAAGGCAGTGGAGGATGGCCCAAGTCCTTGGGCCCTGCACCCTCATGGGAGACCAGGAGGAAGCGCCTGGCTCCTGACTTCGGATTGGCACAGCATGCCAGCTATAGCGGCCATTTTGGGGGTGAGCCAACGGAAGGAAGACCTTTCTTTCTGTCTCTCTCACTGTCTAACTCTGCCTGTCAAAAAAAAAAAAAAAAAAAAAAAGCCTCTTGAGTTCGCCAACTCCGATCTTATTTAGACAAGGCCATAGTCAAAGTGGAAGTTCTCTCCTCCCTTCAGAGAAAGGTACCTCCTTCCTTGATGGGGTAGGCACTTTGGCATAGTAGCAGGTGAGGCAGCCAGGGCCCCAAGGACTTGGGGCATCTTCTACTACTTTCCCAGGCCATAGCAGAGACCTGAATCAGAAGTGGAGCAGCCAGGACTCTAACCG